GAGTTTGTATGACATGACAAGCCACTGTCACAGCTTGAATATGCAAAAGTCACCTTGCATGTGCCATAACCCACTGTGACTTAAATAAACATTCATCACAGCTAATCCAGGTCCTAGCATCCCCCTGCCAGATCCTAGTGTGTCCCCAAGAGATCAGAGCAGGGGGAATGTGACCACCAAAAGAAAGAAAGTTCCCCAGTTGTTTACAACTGTTTAGGGGAACTCTATACCATTGAAATGCTGGTGTTTCAGGGTTCTTGAGCATCAAAGAGAACCTTGGATGTCTCCAGCCGAGCATGCAAACTTTCAACTGAATAAGTGGAAGATGACACATGAACAAACCTGTTCCCCTCCAATCCAAATGTTGAGTTAATGACTGTGGATGCTGAAATGCAAGCTCATTAAGATAGCAAGTGAGCTGAGTGGATATGCAGATTTCAAGTTAATTCACTTTCAAAAGAACTGACAATCTGTTGAAGGGGGGACAAAGGAGGAGCCAACCAGAATGCTATTGAGGCTCATCTGACTAGAAGGAGACCTCTAAAAGTACAGCTGATCTCCTGGAGAGGCAATAATGCTGGTGTATCATGTGTTAGGCACCAACTGCTTGCCAATAGCATGCCCTATTTCAGTGATCCCAAACACTCGGCCTCAATGTTAATATATACACCATGAAAATCCTCTTACTTAATGTAATATAATTTGTCTCATTTTATCTATTTACTTATTGGTATGCTAATTTGACAGGACTATTCAGCTATTATTATTTTGTGACCTGTATAAAGAGACAACCAGTGCCAATGTATCACGCTTCCTATGCTGTTCCATTGGCAGTAAGAGTTCCGCACAATTAGTACATTGCTGTCTCCCTTGCCTACATTCAAGAAGGACACCAGAGTGTCCCCAGCACATTCTCAACTTTTTCAAAAATTATTTTTGGTGCTGGACAAGTGTGCAGAATGTGAATAAACAGTGCTAGGAAATCTGTGCAAAGTTCACTGCTCTGCCAGAGATTGGTGCAATTTCCCATCTTATTTTACTACTTTGCTATAGAATTTGTTCCCCTTTCCATTTAGTTCTACCACTCTGCTTTGAAATTTATGCAATTCTGTACACCATTTTCCTGCTCTGCCATGAGATTTGTGCAACTTTTCCTTTAGCGTTCCAGCCCTGCCTTGAAATTTGTGCAGTTTTTGATACTGTTTTATTGCTCTGCCGTGAGGTTTACATATATGTTTAGTGATCCCAGTTGCTGCTAAGTCAAATCTATATGTTACTGTTAGCAACAGAAAAAAGCAACAAGCAGGAATGGGTGGCAGAAGCTGAAAGTACCTGGCAACTGCTGGAGAAGGTACCTTGGGGGTGGGTCTGTTTACTTCCTTATAACATGAAGTAGCCTTGAGTTTGCTGACTACTAAGCAAGGGACATGCTGTAGTGGAAGAAAGGGATAGCAAGATGCTTGCCCAAATACTGGAGAGATATATCCGCTCTTGATCAAGAGTGCAAGTCCCTGAAAATAAATATAATTTTGAAAGCAAATACAATGAGATGAAAGCACTGGTAGGGCAGGTGTTCTTTACAGTATAAAGTGAAACAGCCTTTAAAAACAGATGTTCACTAGCAAATGAGGCACCAGAATGGAAGATAAAGCTGATGAAAGCATTCACAATACAGGGATGTTGGTGTATTGGGCTAAATATTGGATAGGCATTCTTGCTCAAGAGTAAAATTCCAGCCTCTCTGATGCTTGTTTCTGCTCTAAAAGGCAAAGAGTACCACACTAGAAAAAGACAGAAAACATATGGAGCAGGGGTGGGGGACTGCTTTCAGCCCAAGGGCCACAGTGAACCCCAAAGCAACTCTTGGCGGCCATCTTGGCCAGTAGTGGGAGGGGCCAAAGGCAAAGGCGCAAGGATGCAAAAACCACCACTGCATTTTTCCTTAAAGCTTCTACTGCGTGTAAGTAAGCCTTAGGGGAGGCATTTCTACCTTTCAGAATGGGAAAATAGGAGAACACCTAGGAGTTGAGAGGGAATGGGGCCCAGTTTCCTGGCAAACCTCAGAAGTACTGGATTTGGTTCCCAGACCTGAAGTTCTCCACCCTGCTGAACAACACATCGCCTGTGGAAAATGTGCTTGCACTTGGTGTGACATAGGACTCAGCCACCCTGGTACAAATCATGCAATGTTTTGAATTATGTGGCAGGGCCATGTTCTGGTTCCTGCATAAATAATAATGGGAAAAAGACAGCTTTTGCCTGGGGAAGCAGCTTTTGCTGGCCTCGCTTATGCAGTTCCTTCAGATGTACATTCCTGGGATTGTGTAGGATCACACAGCTTAGAACTGGATGCAGCATTTCTGGGGCAACATATGAACTGGCCTTGAGACAAGCACTGGTTTCCCATAACCCCAGAGCTAAATGACAGTACCTGGCAGATTAATTTGCATGATGTACACAAGCTCCTGAGGTGCAATTACCATTTGTGTGACAGTGCCTAGCTTCAGGAAGGACTTGTGTCCAAGAAAGCTTATCTTTACCAGAAAAGGTCAGATCACTTATGAAATGAACTCTCTTATCCTGTAAAAAATCTACAAACAGTTGCTTGTAATAGTAAACAGAACCATAAATGCTTAATCTCCACAATTACAGGTATCCGCTGGAAATATTTTTTGAATAGTAGAGTATTTTTATTTATTCAATCTACTAATGAAATCAATTAAAACTGCAACCTGATTAAAAGACAGAGATACCAAATATTTGGCCTTTGGAATGTGGAAGCATTGTGAAGAACTAGGCATGCATGTTTCAAATTGTTGAAGGGCTATGTGATAAATAATGATCCCCGATTAGAAGTTACTGTATTTTGATGAACTTAAAATACAGTGCAATACAGCGTTGTGGATCTTCCTAGTGCCACCACCATGCCCCCCATCCTATAGCTTAGTTTAAATATTTCTACAGTTTAGTATGCCATTTTAGTTTCTTTCTGGGTTGACTTGTAGGTACATCTTGGCTAGTAGAAATGCAGCATGAAAAGTTGTTCCTTGCAGGATCATGTGATAGGAAAAGCTTTCAAATGTTTTGTGATCTTCATCAAGGAATGTCAAAGAAAAGAAAGTAGGCATCAACCATATTATAAGCTTTGGGTGAAACAGTCATTAAAGGCAACAGAAGTTTGCCATTGACTTAAATGGGATCAATGCATAAATAATTACTGGTATTTCTCTCCTGCTTAGGGAGCAATCTTCTGGCTCTGAGACAGCATCTGGAGACTGTGCTACAGCCTTACATGGGGGAATCCACAAGCCACCCCTTCCCCTACTAGCTGCCACTGAAAGAGGGGAAAGGGCTGCTTAAGTGGGCAGGAAGGAAAAGAGACTAGAAGACCAGGCTAAGGTATTAAAACATGCTATACTTTTAATTGCCATCATTGTTATATGGCTTTAAATCTGCTTTTAAATACTGGATATTTATTCTTAAATGTATCATCTTCCTCTTCTTTAAGTTACAATAGTCTGTCTTTAAAAAAAAAGAAGTAAGCAAACAAATGAACATATATTTTCACACTGGTTTGGCTGAGTTTGGCACATTTATGCACATATTTCTGCTTTATTTACATCCAATTCTACAGATATAACTCAAGCACTATTATCATCATCCTGGTAATTTTTTAACTGGCTGCTGTAGAAGTTGTGACACATCCACTGATGTGGTGGAAAATGAGTAGGGCATCAAGGAGTTCACAACAATTCATTATGGACATCTAATAATGTTTAATCCTATGTACGTTTTCTTTGCAGTCGCATTGTAAAGCAAAGAAGGCCATAAGCAAAAATCCAGCATCTCTATTAATGCAATATCTCTACTAGGACAACCAAAAAGTCACACTAAATGAGTGCTTTCCAGTCCTCATCATCCAGCAAGACGCTGCAGAGAGGCTGGCGGCGGGAGCATTGTAAGGATGACGGCTCACTTCTGCAAAGTGTGATAAGCGCAGTTTGTCAGTGGGGCTTATGACCAATTCCAACTATGACTAACTTCCTTGCGCTGCTCTTTCGCTTTGCAGCGTGGCCGTTCCAGACAGAACAGTTTATTTACACGCGCCGCACGCCCACCCACAGTAATAAAGGGGGCAGTATTTCCTATTTCTAAGCAAATAAATAAATAAACAAATCCCACTAGGGTCCAGTTGCTCATGTTCTTTGTCGCCCCCAAAAGGCTTCATTAAAAAAAAAATAGCGAAGGAAGCCCTTTCTTTCATTGCCCTATGCACAGACACGGGAGCGGTGCTGCGCTTTCTGCTGATTCAGATCAGGAGTCGCAACGTTAAAACTGCCGTCCCTTCCCGTCGGAGGCCATGCCAGGAGGCGGGCTGTGCTGATCCCAGCTGTCTCGGCCCACCTGGGTAAGCGGCGGCGCCTTCGGAGCCCCGCCGAGCCTGCGGCTCCTCGCGGCCGCTCGCCGGGCCCGCCGACCTTCCCTGCAGCCTCCGCGCCACGGCGGAAGCTGCTGTGCCTGCAGTCAGGTGTCGTCGGCGTCGGCGAACCGGGCCCGCTGCCGGGTTAGAGGATGCGCGGGAGGCGGAGACTGGCCAGCTGGCGGGGAGGCGGCAGGCAGGCGGGCGGGGAGGGAGAAGATGGCGGAGGCAGCGTGAGTAGAGAGCCGGGGAAGCTGGCGACTGCGGGAGGGCGGGCAGGCGGGACGGGACGGGACGGAGGGGAAACAGGAGGGGGCGTTGTGGGGCTGGCAGCTGCATGCAGGGGAGGGGCGTGTGGCGCCCGGGCCCGGGCGGGCGGGAGAGGCGTCGTCCGTGGGTGGGATGCCGCAGCCGGGTGGGCAAGAGCCTGTGGGGCTCGACGGGAGCGGGGCTGCCTCCTTCAGCACAAGCCGGGAAAGGAAACAGCCGAGGCGCTCCTAAAGCTTGTGTGTGTGTGGGAGCGAGCGAGCGAGAAACTGACGGACAAACGAAACGAACAGTAATAATTATCATGTCATTGTCTAGACATACTTTTCAAAATAGGCCCTCTGCTTTCCAGCAGTGAGTCATGGTGAAAACATTTCCCAAGAAGGGCACGACTTTTTAATTTTAGGTTATTATGTTGTTAACTCGACTCTACTCCGAGGAGCTCAAAGTAGTGGACATGGTATCACTTGCCTTGATCCTTGTAACCACCCTGTGAGGTAGGTTAGGTAGAGGGGTAGTGAGTGGCCCCAGGTGAGCCAGGGAGATTCAGTACTGAGTCGGGCTTTGAACCTGGGTCTGGTCCAGCACTTCAGCTGCCGCACCACAGCGACCTGTGCGCTAGATCACCTGCTGGAGGAGAGGTGATCTGCTGAAGGCCACTGTCCCAGCCTGGTCCTTTTCAGATGTATTGGAATACAACTGCTATGCTGGCTGGGGGATGCTGGGAATTGTTGTCACCTGGATCTGCAGGAGGGGAGCTGCCTTAAGAGAAACACTCCTGCAGCTCAGTGACTGGGACGCAGAACGGATCAGGTTAACTGTATGGATCAGGTTAACTGTATGTACTCGTCCTTGGGTTTTCTATTCAGACATTTGATTTGTTTGCTTCAATACATTATTTGTGTGACTTTTCAGCGTAGCAAATACCTCCTTCACCACACATGCTTTTACTGTAGCCATGTTTTCACAGTTTTTGACGCTGTATATTTGCATTTTGATTACAAACTTCCCCATTTCTCTGGAGGGTGAGATTGAGAAACAAGGAGTGTTTGTTTTCTTGAGATTAGGGATTAAGAACATTAGCCTCAGTGGCAATATCTGCATATTTCTTGGCCTGTTCTCTCTTGCTTGGCCTGCGATTGCATGAACTTTCTATTAGTCCATTGCTAGGGCTCTTTTGTAGCACAAGTTCCAAGCATGCCATACTATCAAGTAACAATGTAGGTAGAAACACACATTCAGTTATTCTGAGACTGATGTTACACGACTGTTTCTACCCTTTGGCTACTCCCTGAGTTGCTTATCACCACCAGTCTGCTTCACCATATCACTAAGGAAGGTATCAATAAGTTTTCAAGCAGCTACAGGCAAGACACCTAGCTTCTTGTATAGATAAATCTGCTGCCCATTGTATTTCAATGTGGCGAATCACTGAGGAGAATCCCACAACTCGACTTTTAGCTTGTGATGTGGGGTGGGGAACTTTCCATGGAGAACTTTCCAAAATGGACAGTTTTCAGTGCTTTTTTTTTCAATGGATAATTTGCCTTTTCATCAGTTCACTGGTGACAATAAATAGATGCCAGTTGCAAATATAACATTAAGGTAGTCTCAGAGTTATAATTAAATTTTTTGAGATGATTGTTGTTGTTAGTCAGTCCGACCCATCTCGACCCCATGGACAACATTCCTCCAGGCCTTCCTGTCGTCCATCATCCCTCAGAGTCCACTTAAGCTCACAGAGGTGATTATCCTCAGCAAATATATGAGAAAACACATGTATGCCATTGAAATACTTATATTTTTCAATGTAAAATGGGACTAATAAGTAGTGAGAGTTAAACTGCAGCTGCCCAACACACTCAGTGAAAGAGCTGAGGTCTGTTGCAATACTTGAGTGATTGTCAGAATATCATGTGCTGCTCTTCAGGTTGCTAAAATGTATTAGTGTGTCAACAGTTTTCAGTACCTTTGGCTTCCCCGCTGCCTTAAATGTAAACAATACAAGAGAGTATATGGTTTATTCTTGGTATTTGTACAAGTATTACTGTAAAATATGTAATAGAACTTTTACATCACATTAAATGTATTTTAATCCCTCCCCCACAATTTCAGATCAAATTCTTGTGGTGTATTGTGGAGGGATAACATCGGATTTTTTACCTTTGTTTACTAAATAAAATAAAATAATCATGCTAAACTAGATCACTCTAGGGCATCAGAAAGTTTTCCACTGCAAATTGAAAAAATTCCAATGCAATTACCCTATGCAAATTAACTGGGAAATCCACATTGCTATGACTAGCACCAGTGCCTCTGCAATGAGTCACTCAGCACAGAGATCCCATTCCCACTTGGCCTTTGCAAGAGGGAGCTGCAAAGCCTAGAAGCAGGAAGAGAACTGTCCTTGTAGAGAGAGAAATTTGTGGCAACCCCAAATAATGGCTGGCTGACAAGTCGAACTAAAATACATGGACTCCTGTATGAAACTTCTTGTGCAGCACTGTACAAATAAAGAGGGTGCTCATGTAGATACAGTCATTTAAAATCCATAAGATTCCTGCTGTATAGGAGAATTGTTTTAATTAGTATTCTTTGAATGTCTACCCAGCCATCTTTTTTTTTTCTTTAGGAAATGCATCCTTTGGCATCTGTGGCATGATTGAAAAGTCTCTATGTTTGTAAATATGTAATAAAACATTTTTATAGAGATAAAAAATCTGGAGGGTTGGAATGGAACTGGAAAAAATCCATAAAAATGAAAAAAGCCGAAGTATTTCCCAGATACACCAGAAATTACTGGAAAGAAAAGAAAGAAATCTCCCCTCCCAACATTTTCTGGCTTCTCCCCACCCTCCAGGCCTTCATATCTTTAATTATGCACCCAATATTGAGCATTTGTTTTGAGAATTCATTTGTTTTTCAACCCCAGTAATTGTATGATATCTTCACAAGAATACTTTACCATAGTTGGAAGAATGTAATAGATCTCTTCTTCACCTTAACTCATTCTGCCCATCTACCATAATATGCATGATACTGGTGCATTGTACAAGCATAGTTAATAGCCTATGGATATTAATTTGCTAATGAACTTTTGGAACAATGTCAAGAATATCCTTTTAATAAGCATGCTGTCACAGTGGCATATGAATTTTAATTACTTGGATTTCCTGGTTACCAGACGGTAACATGCAGTCAAGGGAATGGCTCACAAATGTTCATGTGCCACTCTGCTCCTGTGAAAGAGGTTAATGATGCATTTATATCAGGTTAGGCAAGCTTGACCAGCATACAGTTCATATGTTCTTAATGGATTTCTGTATTCCTTTCAAGGAGATGAAGGCTTTATGGTGTTGTGTGTTTGACTTAAGTTGGAGAAACACTGCTTTTTAACTTACATATAAATGGGATAGACTGAAAACTTACATTAGAGTTCTCCTACTTGCATACCATGATGTTCTTACGGAATTTGTAAACAAATGTTACTTTCTGATGACTTCCAAACAGTTCAATATATAGCTCTGGTAGGACTATTTCTTTTGAATTCTGATACATGTTCCTGCCAGGATTTGTTCATTTATATGGAACAATTATGAAAAGGAAAAGTAACTTGTCACACTTCAGATTCTTAGTAAGTTCTACAGCAACCTCCTCCAACTTAGATGTTTTAGACTATGCCTCTTATTAGCTCTGCCAACTGGCCAATGATCGAGAATCCTGAGAGTTGTAATCCAAAACTTCTGGAGGCCATCAGGTTAGAGAATGTCTGTTGCAGAGCAAAAGAACAAGGGGGCCCAATCCTTTCATTTGTCTGTGCAGAGCAGCGGTGATTATTGTATGTTCACAGAGCTCTGCATGTGCATTCAGAGGGAATGTCTCTAAACTGAGGTTCCATCTCATCATCCCAGCCAGTTTCACAGGAGAGTGTCCAATATCACAAATGGCAGGGTGTGCGGAGTATACATAACCAGTAACAGGATTTATCAAGGATCTGGAACAACTTCCTGTGAGGAAAAGTTCCATCTGGGATCATTCAGCTTAGAAAAAAAGACAAATAAGGGGAGATGTGGTAGAAATATACCAAATTAGGTATACTGTGGCAAATGTTGTTAGGGAGACATTTTTCTCCCTCAAGACTAGAACCTGGAGCATCTCATTAAGCTGATTGGTGGTACATTGTGGACAGATAAAAGGATGTACCTCATATAGTTGCGGCATATCGTTAAACTATGGATTTCACTTTCACAATCACTACTCTTTAGGATGGTTTTTAAAAGAGGGTTGGACAAATTCACAGTGGATAAGCTGTCAATAGCTACAAGTTCAGATGGCTATATGCTGCCTCCAGTATCAGAGACAGTATGCCTAGGTACACCATTAGCTGGGGAACATAGGGAAAGGGGTGCTGTAGTAAGGGCTGGAATGTATCCTCTCCAGCAGTGTGTTACTATGTGAGTTCAGTATCACCAAGGTTGGTCAAAGCTTGCATCATGTGGCCTAACTAGGAAACCCTGATTCTGTTTCAACTTTGGTCTCATTCTTACAATGTGGCCTTGCTGTCCTTTCCTTTGTTGTCCTAGTCCTGCCAGTGAAGCAATGATGCAAATATTGCAATTGCTATAAATTGCACAAAGAAAAAAAAAAAGACTTTCCTTGCTGCAATGTCCTGGCTTAGAGACTACCTATTTTTCTGAGTAGGCCTTAACCTCAGTACCTGCCTCCTTAACACAGAATAGACTGTTGATTACAGTAGAGTTCATTTTTCAGTTTCCCTTCCCCAAAAGAAAAACTCAAGGTGGCTAGTGATATCTGTGGCATGTTTATAGCAATCCTATCTCTTTATATCTGTTTATGTAGTGTCTATAAGTCTGATCTCTTAAATCTGAAATACAATGATACATCATATTCAGAGCTCAGAACTAGTTTTAACCAACTCCATGATACGGTTAGGAGCATCCTAAATTGTTGATCGATTCTCATTAGTTGCTCTAATACCTTTCTAAGGTACGTAGTTGCAAGAGTTGCATGGTTTGATTCAGTTGTTAAATAATTTTAGTAAAATGTTAGCTAGGAGAAGGAAATATAGTACTGTGTCAGATCAGAAGCATAGAAGTCCATTTTATAAGTAGGCATTGTCAAAGTCTTAAAGGTCTTTTAACATTTTTTGTTTAATTTTTGACAAAGTACTTCTAAAATTCTGCAGTGTTTGGACCCAGAAACTGTGGACTAGACAAGATGACAGCAGGCATGTATTTCTATGTATGAATTTGCCTTCTGCATATGTAAATCAAACAGTTATTTTATTTATTTATTTATTATTTCAGTAGTAAAAGCATGTGGGAAATCAGTGTTGTTCTAGCCACTTTCCTCTTTTCCTAGATTATTTTGTATATTGAAGCATCTAGTTAAAGAAAAAGAGGAAGGAAAGATTCATTTCTTCTTCTCCTCGTATGCCTTGCCAACTTGTGCCTTCTTACATATGTTAAAAGGGTGGAAATGCGAATTACAGCCTTGTCTTATCTGTTTTGGCCTTCAAAAGAAATGTAGTAAACTTGAGCTGTCTTTCTGTCAAGGAGGAGCATTTTGAATAGAACTGTGTTGCAGTTGTTGGGATTTCACACACTTGATTCATGAGGTTCTGTGACACAAAACAGTATGATTTCAGTGGTATACCCAAATAGATCCTAATTAATGGAGATCAATGTTAGTCACATTTAAAGGATCTTCCGTTCTTTTTTCTTTCTAGCAGTAGAAGCTAGTATAAAAATAGCTGTATGAGATTCCTGTCTCAGTAATTCAGAGCTCACCTTTCAGGCAACCTTGGATTAGTGGCATATTTACTAGGAATAAGCATTCCTAAAGAGAAACTTCAGAAGGCTGTTGCTATTCCACGTACTTTTTCTTCCTCCCTATCCCATGTAATTTGTCTCTTCCTAGATACACATACAAGCATGCTCAAGGGCAGTTTCTACTTTAAAAGTGAAGGAAACAGGAAAAAGAAATTGGTAAGGCCTGGTGTGCAGTAACTATACACTGTTAAAGTATGCAGATTCTTAAAACTAGACTAAAGTTTATGTAAAATAAATACACTCAGATCCTATGTGTAGAACAGATGCATTTCATAACAATTTAGCTTACGTTGCTTTCTCCCCAGATCTCATTATAATTTAAAAGGGGAACTTAGCTGTTTTTATATTTGAAATTGTTTTTGTGATGTTCGTTGAATTTTAACATGTGCTTACACAACAATTTCTTCATACACTTATTATTATAATGAGGCAGGCCCTCTAAATATTTTGAGCTACAACACCCATCACCCTGCCAGCATGGCTGAGAGTCAGAGATTATTTAGGGGAATTGTAGTCCAAACTATTTGGAGATCGCATTTTGGCAAGTTTTGAATTGTGGCATTTAACTGGGAAAACAGAATGTGCATTGGAAAAAAGGAGATAACCCCCACTCCAAATAAACCCACAACTGAAAATCAAAAAGCATCTTGTGCAGATTGCATAGCTGGTGCGTCTAAGCTGGTGCAGAATAGGAAGGAAGCTTTTTTTAGAGTGTATATGTGTGCAAACTGCAGAGCTAGGAGGTGTATCAAAATGTATTTCCTGTGAGTGTAAGAACTGCCTGCCTGGATTAGACTAAATCTATAGATATTTCTAACATCCTGTTTCCCTACATTAACCAACAGATACCTTCAAGCAGGATAAGTAATAGCCACCAGCACAACTCCTTTTATTGTGCACAGCATATGGTTCCCGGTGCTTCAGCAAACAAAACTTGTTTTAGCGTATGGAAAACTTCCTTGGCAGTTTTTATAAAGCTTCTAAAGTTAATGCTAAATACCTGGTTTCTTTGTTCTCAGTAAAATGAGCATTAGCCTATCCATCCAATATTTAAACTTGTATTTGAACTCCCAAACCTTTAAAAAAGATAAGATATATATCCTTCTATATTATATATATTATTCCACCTCTGTATTTTTCTTTCTTCTGTTCTTACCTCTTCCAGTCTTTTTCCTCTGTCATCCCCATCATTCCTTCTGCAAGCCTTGCCAATTTACAATAAACTTTCCACAATCATACTAGTAATATTTATAGCTGCAAGTGAAAGCTGCACTGTTTTGACAATTGATACTTTGAACCTGCATGCTAGGCCAACCACACACATGTATCAGCTATCTCACACTTACCTGCTGCACAGAGATTTTAAAATAAATTCGTATAAGTTGTGTAGAAGCTTCCTGGGTTATGGATGGTGGCTGAAGATTATATGAAGCTCTTCTTAGCACAAGTACATCTCTTCTCTGAAGTACATAAATGCAGCCTGCAGTGGCCTACTGCAGCTTATAGTAATGTCTGCAAGCTTGTTTGTTCTTCTTACTGTGCTCAGTTTGGAAAGTGGCAATATGCCATAGCTGCAGAATGAACAATGTACATTGAGCTTCCGCTGGACAAAAGATGGTATGAAGAAAGCATAGTCTCTTGCCGCAACATCTCTTCCACTTTCTCATGAATAAGAACTATAAAAAGATGCAAACGATTGGCAGCTTCAGAATGTACAAAACAATATGTTATCCCCCACCCCTTTCCAGGTGTTCCTGGACTAAGTTCCAGGTGACTAAGCTGTCAGTCAAAATACTTGTTATACATGGATTTGACACTAAATCCATGTAGGACAAGAATTTTGATTGGCACATTGGAAAAAGAGGCATCTGCCACTGGGAATTCTGGGAAGGGAATTCTGCCACTCCAGTCCAGATACTACGTAGGCAGAGCTGGAAAGTAGAATGGAATTTTCTTTACTGCCTTGGTACACAGTATTGCCACATGTAGACATATGGTTTATCCTGGGATTGTTTGGATTTTATTTTAAGTTTGATTCCCACATCTCACACTTGCAATTTATATTGGCTATGTTTTTATTAGCTCTTCCCATGGCAACTGCCTGTCTGCTTAGGTTTATTACAGTAGCTCCACATCCTTTAGAGTTTTCTTCACAATTTGGGAGTCAGAAGTATACTGTATTGGTAATCACAGATTTAGTATGTTTCCTTGATACAGAGCTACAAATACAGCTTTAAAATTGTACCACTGGATTCTTGAATGGTCTGTAGCATACAGCTCTTGTGCACTTGAGACTGATTGTGGAACTTCATTCTGTTTGTAGTCAAACACTTGCATAGTTTAATATTGTTGCTATATGCAAATATTTCCCTATGTTAACCACCTAAATTTCCTATGTTAGGATGTTAACCCCCTAAATTTTTACTACCCTATAACAAATTGGATTCTCTTCTTCAAAGAGTTCTTATAGCATAGCTGGGTCATCATGTATTATTTAATCCATGATGATCTTTGGTACATTCCAGATTCACCAAAGCTCAGGTGCTTGCCAGGTGCACATCAGCACCATTTATAGTATGCAGTCCCTCATGTAGTAGTAGTTGTTGTTGTTAGTCGCGAAGTCGTGTCCGACCCATTGCGACCCTATGGACAACATTCCTCCAGGCCTTCCTGCCCTCCACCGTCCCCCAAGTAGGGTTGTGTAAAGTTTGTTTAACCCTTGAATAATCTGTAAAGACTTGGCTCAGTCGACATGGTGCAGCTCCCAACCAGGGATAATGTATTCCAAATGGCATCTTCATATGCCTGGCATAAGTTGACTGTGTCATGACAATCCCCTAGGTTGTTCATGGTAAAACCCCACAGTTAAACTATAAAGCAGGGTTCACACATAACACAGCAACCATCTATTGGACAACAATACATACAATGAGTTGTCATTACATGTGAAGCAGGTAATTGTTTCTTATTTCTTTTATAAAATGTATCATGTTGTATGGTGTAATTAATTATTTTGCATAGTGCCTGGGGTACAAAAGACAGATGTAATTCCTTTGTCTAATGTTATTTTTATTGCTTTTGGGTTATGAGAAATGCTTTTATTAGAAATTATGAAATGGCACACAAATTCTTGGATGTTTTTAGAGATGTGAATGTTCAGAATCCCTTTTCTTTACCTCCCCTGAAAAAAGGGAATTAGGAGGAAAATGGAAAGAAGCACAATATTTCCTTTTATCAAGCCTATCTTATTTTGGGGCCTTACACCATTAAAGTTGCTATTCCATAGCTCCCAGGACTGCATATGGTCACATGGGACATAGCAGATATTCTGCTGTGTGGTTCAGGGAGAGAGGCAATTGCTTTCCGCACAGGGAACTGATCTCAGATCCCCATTTCTAGCTCCGGCTGAAAGTTCTATCTCACTTATCTCTCTGATGTCACACTCTAATGCAGCTGATCCCATGAGGATGTTGGGATTGAGACTAATATGCATGCTCATGTCTTTCCCACTTTAGTCCTGTATTGTATTAAAATAAGTGGAAGCTGGGCATTTCTTGACATCATGCCAAAAGGCTTGTGTGTTGTGTTCAAGGAAGTAAATAATTAACCTTGCCTTCAGTTGGTGCTACAATAATCTTTATATCTTAATTCAAGATCTATCAAAGGCAGAGGTAGGTAACTTGATGTTCTCCAGATATTTTCAACCACATAGCCTATAAGCTGCAGCTAGCATGGGCAATGGTCAAGTGTTGTGGAAGTTGTAGTCCAAACTATCTGGAAGGTTTCAGGGGGCTGAAAATATGAATGGAATCATAGATGGTGAGGTTGTTGGATATAGATCCTTAAGTTAGTCTTAAGAACCTCCATGCTGTTTTTTTAAATAGAACTTTTAAATATGTGTTCTTTAATTTTTTTTTTTTTCCAAACAGGATTTGGAACACATTCTGAACTAAGAGGAATAGGATTGCTTCAGCGTTCTTGCTCTTCCTTCTCTCTAGGCTCCAAACTTCTGTATTGAATGCTGTTGGAAGTACATGAGACCATGGCAGATGATGATGTTCAAGCATCCATACCAAAAAAGTGTGGCCCATACATTTCTTCAGTCACCAGCCACAGTCTGAACTTGTTGCTCCGTGGGGTTGTCCTTTTTTTAATTGGAGTCTTTCTCGCATTAGTATTAAACCTGCTACAGATCCAGAGAAATGTCACCTTGTTTCCACCCGATGTAATTACAAGTATCTTCTCTTCAGCTTGGTGGGTACCACTTGGCTGTGGAACAGCATCAGGTATGTCAGAAGAACTGTGTTGGAGGAGCATTCGGAGAACGGTTATGGGTTTGACCCAGTTGACCAGAGAGCGTGGGCCTAGGCACAGACTACTTAAATATTTTGTGTGTCCCTCCATGGTATGACCTGGTTGGATGTGAAAGATGCACTGTGACCTTATGTTCCATGTAACAGCCTGATGGGTTGAGAGATTTTCTGTACACATTGGAGGTTGGATGGGCAATCTTCCACATGCAGATGCTGTATCCATACTGGATAGTACTGGTGTTTTTGTGCCAGACTTTAATACTTTTTTCTGCTGTATCCTGATTCAGATCCTGTGGCAGCCAAATTAAGAAGAAGCACTTTTGTTGTTGCAATTGCTGTTGAAACAGTTAGAACTCAGGAATTTTTGATGACCACTTGGAGATCTGCCAGTGGATTTTAATCTAATATTAGTGAAGCTGGGCACTGAATTTTTTCCAGGAAAAATATTCTATTTCATTCATTTATTAGCAACAATGAATGAATGTATATACTATATAAGGCAAGCTTGGCATTTTCAAACATGCAATTACTATTTTTCAGGTGATTATCCCAAACAAGTAGTTGAGAGAATACCGATACATCACTGCAGTGTGTGTGTGTGTGTGTGTGTGTGTGTGTCACTGTAAAATGGAACTAATAAGAAGTGGCAGCAAAGCTAAAGGTGTCCCATCAAACTCAGCAGACGATATTTCATGTTGAAATATCTGAACAATTGTCAGCATATCATGCACAGCTCTTTGGGTTACTAACATGTAATAGTCTATCAACAGCTTTCAGTACCATTTGCATTTTTCCCTTAAATGTAAACAACATAAGGGAAGTATGTATACTGCCTATAGAGCCCTATGGGCTATGGGGCAGTTTTTAAATAAATAAAATATTTTTTATTTTAATAAGTTTTTAATAAATAAATAATAAAGTACATGCTTTGATTTTTATGTATTCTTTCAACTAAATATCACATAATAGAAGGTTCAAATCACATTCAATATGCTTTAATGTTTTTCCATCAAATGTTTCTGGTCAAATATTACCGGTATATTTGAAATAAAAAGGGTGGGTGCTTTTTCAGTTTTATTTACTAAATAAATATGTGAATAATAAATACAGTTACTCTTTAAAAGACAACAAAAAATTTTCTGATTTTCCTAATTCATATAGGAAAAATTTCTGGAAAATCCATGATCCACATCTATTCATCCCTAAGGAAAGTACTTGGCTTTTCTCTCTTTGCACCCCTAAGAACAACCACCATCAGCACAACCAATACTTTTATTAATTCAGTTGCTATATGCAATGTTTCTTTCAGTAGAAATGTCTTGACAAGATAATCAGGGAACAACATTTAGGGAGAATTCTGTAGAAAGTAAACTCCATAACACAGGAATTTTTCCTGAGGTCTCCTTGTCAGATTCTAGTACAGGTCAATAAGCCAGTCTATTGTTTAGCACACAAACTGATCCATTGTTTAGATTTCTCTCTTTTGCTATAATCTTTAAGGCTAGTGGTCTTGCATTAACCAATTCTTTTTGTGCCTCTTCATGGAGTTAATACACCACAAATTTCACAGAAGTCATGGATTTGAAAAAAAAAAATGCCTGCATAATTTGTCTGAAAGTGTTAGCTTTTCTTTTCTTGAGGGGGTATATTTGGAATAGCTTGGTCACAGCTACAGATTTGTTTTATCTCTAAACTGCTTGTCTATCATAATTATTTTTTCCTCCATTGCTAGTCTTTCTTGAGTATACTGTCCTGACTTTTCTTCAGTTTTTGCCTAAATTGCAGTTATCACCCAAATATTTTGGGGATGTAGACTCAGATTATTTGGATTGGAGTAGTGGCAAACATTTCTTCTATAATGATTTATTCGATTAAAACTTATAAGGAACATCCAGAGTATGTGATCAATGGGAAGCTAGTGCTAGCTGTATAGCTTGTATGTTCTTGTAGAACACCAACTGACGTAAGAGAGTAAGTTCTTAACAGTGATAATACAGAACAGTAGCTCAGGATAACCTGCCTTACATGAGTTAATGCTATCTTAGTACAGTATCCTTCCTTATAGTCTTAGTTGGGACCCTCAAGAAAGTTCACTATGCAATATTAAAATAATCACCCATTTAAGATTGCATTCAATGGCATTGCCCCATTTGTCATAATTTTTTTAAAAAATGTGTGTGTTGCCTTCCACTTTCAATCTGTATACTACAATGATAATTTAAAACCTGTAAACTGGATTGAAATTACTTAATAAAAATACAGTATTGCAAAAATATCCGTAACATATAGCCAAAGAAGAATACTGTGGAATTATAGGATGGTGTGAGTCATTGTATCAACTGCCATGCATGGTACTCTGTCTGTACAATGAGGTTTTTTATGGCAGCCTCCCATGCTTCCCCATTGAAGAGGTTTGAAAGAGGGCTGTTGGAAGAAAATACCACTTCTCTTCCTGTATGTGAGCACAAATGTTTTTGGTCTGACTTGATAAAACATGGACCTTGCACACAATGCAAATCTATGAGAGCCTTTCTTGTGGGAAACTGGTATGTGAGCCAGTATGGTATAATGGTTGGGATGATGGATTAGGACCGAGAAGACCCAGATAGAAGTTACCATTCAGCCATGAAGGTCACTGCACAACCTTGGACCCTTCACACACACTCAGCCTAACCTACCCCACAAGATCATCTTGAGGATAATGAGAGAGAGGAAAAAATGTGTATTTCATCTTGAGCTCTTCTGGAGGAAAGGTGGGATAGCATTGCAATAAATAAATAACCTTTTCCCACAAATAAGGCCCTCCTAACTATGGTGGTGCTTGATTACATGTACACTCTTAACTGTAGTTAATAGTACCAGTTCTATAACTACTGTCAACATGGTTGTCCATATGAGGGCACTATGATAGCTGTAAGTTCAGAGATGAAGGAGAGGTAAAGAAGAGACAACAGTATCCTAGGGCAACTCCTAGGAGAGTGTGCCTCTTGTATGTTTTCTTGTGTCTGTAGTTTATTTGTTTATTAGGAGTATTTCTAACCTGTCCAATTACTATACGACTCTGAACATCTTACAATAAGTTGAGTTTTGTTCCACCACTACTACTCCTGGTTTCTCTTCCCGCAGAAAGTCCCACTCCTGTCCCTTTTGAGTACAGTGCAAGTGGTGGCCCTGTGTTAGTGGTGGGCAAAACATTCACAAGTGAAATTAATTGAACAGTTGTAGAATAAGTATTAAGTAAGAAGAAGATTAAGTGGTAGTGAAAAAAGGGGGGGTATGCACATGTGGGGGGCGGGGGGGGAGAGCTTCAAAAGATCTGCGGAAGAGGGGAAAGAAGTCAGTGGAAATTGTTGCCTTGTTACCATGTATTGGAGGATACTATAAGAGAATCTAAAGAATTTCAGATCTCCTCTAGTGATTTTTTTTTCCAACCAGACACTAGCAAATAAAAAGAAAATCAGTGTTAATCAAGTACACCTCCCTCTGAAAAGCAATTTAAATGGTACATTTTGCAGATATTTAATTATGTCTCTCTGTTTTACAGCTGGGATTGGGCTATTGTACCCCTGCATGGATAGACATCTGGGAGAACCACATAAATTTAAGAGGGAATGGTCGAGTGTGATGCGATGTGTAGCAGTCTTTGTGGGTATAAATCATGCCAGTGCTGTATCCTTTTCTTAACTTCCTAGGATGTAAAAAAGGTAAATAAGAGGTAGCCTACTCACTGCATTGGAATTGCACATAGGAACATATTCCCCGATGCAGCAGTAAATGTATTAGTTGTCCTTCCATTGTTTCCCAGCTGACGTACAGCTATTTAAGAATGTGTTTAAAATAAGTACATTGTATGAGCTGTGCTAGATCAGAGTAAAAGCCTGCTAGTCCAGCATTTCATAGCAGGCAGGCAGATGCTCATGGAAAGAAACAGCATCCTGCTCCTCTTGTCCAGCAACTGGTACTTACAGGTATGCTGCCTTTGATAATAGAAGCAATATATAGCCATCATGACTAGTAGCTAGTGATAATCTTATCCTCCATGAATTTGTTTAATCCTGATTTACACTTTGGCAGCCACCACTTTATCTTGTAACCGTATGCTGTATGAAGAAGTACTTCCTTTTGTCTGTTCCAAGAAATACTTCATAAACATAGTAAAAATGCAGCACAGCCTGGGATGTGTTAGCCGTAAATCAACAGCAAAAGCAATAAAATTCTAAGAATTAAAATGCATGTGAAACAAGAATTTATACTAATAGACTGAAAACATAAAAAGCTGAAGTGATGTGGGTGTCCCTAGGGAAGCTATTTTACAACACAAGCACCAACCTTGGATAATTGCATAGCTGGTTTGAAAGGGTGGAGGGGGGAAGCATGTGAAATGTCACTCCACTGGTCTAGACTTGAAAGTTCTGTGAATAGTCAATCAGGTGAGGATATTGGTTTGTCCCAAATTCCAGAGACTTGTTAGATGTTAAGAAAATCCTTGTTGGATAATTCTTGCTGGGTGTATATTTCAGATAAAATCCGAAATCAGTATTTCACTGATTTTCTGAAACCAGTCCTTAACAATGTTCACAGAAAGTGGATTTTGCCAACAATATTCAGTTATCCCTCACACTTGCTGCGCTTTCAATTGGGCTGTGGTGGACATTCGATAGATCTCGAAGTGGTTTTGGCCTGGGAATAGGAATAGCATTTCTGGCCACACTGGTGACTCAGCTTCTGGTCTACAATGGAGTTTATCAGTAAGTTGTTTGCTGTGCAGTATAATTATATTAATTTAAATAGTGTATTAAAAGTGGCATCTGATGTATTTGAACTGCCCAGACTTTTCCCAGGATTGCTGAGCAAATAAACATCTTATTGGTATGAATGTTGCTTAAGCTGTAAGACTGCAACCCAGGCAGAAGAATCAGTCGATCTGTTGCCTTTGAGGCTGTGTTTGAATGAAAAAAAAAAAAAGAGGGATAGAGTAGTTCAAGCAATACATCCAAAGCTATCCAAAATTTTCCTCCCATTGTTGGAACTTTGTGTATGGGGATTTTTCTTGCAGTTTCACACTGATATTCACTTTCTCCCCAGAAATAAACTTGGGAGGTAAGTTGGAAGTTCTTTGCCTGTTGAATTGCAAGGGTGCCTTTTCAGTGCGAAGCAGAGAGCTTGCACGTCCTTTCAGACTCCAAATGGGAAGCTGGGGAAGGCAGCAGGGAAGGTGGGGCAGACTTCTGGCAGCCACAAAATCTGGGCTGGTTTCTGAGGACAGCCAAAAATACTAAGTGTTTTGCAAATCCCAACAGAACATCTGCCACCCATTCTACTGCGTAGTTCTAGGAGCAGACTGTGTTTCAGTTGCATTAGCACAAGTTCTTACTTGTCCTGGTGTAGCTCAGAGTGAGTTAATGGAATCAGGGTGCCAGAGGCTTCTACCACAAGTCCTTATTCTCACATGCATATATACTCAGATGGGTATGTGTGTTGGCTGAAACATGGGATCAGAGGGATCTGTTTGCCAGAGCTGTGGCATATGGATAATAGACAGATACCACAGTAGAGTAGGGGAGGGCTAGGGGAGGATAACGGGGAATGGAGCTGAGAGTCAGAAGGATCCTGGGCCAATCTAGGAACTGTGGAACAGAGAACCTGTCAATGCTGAGTCCCATACTCAAGAGCAGGGGTCCTCAAACTTTTTCCACAGGGGGCCAGTTGAAAGGTGCTGGTGCTGGGCGTGGGCCGGAAAGGTGCTGTTGGCGGCACACACCAGCCGGCGGGGGTGGCGGTGGCGTGCACGGGCGCTGAGGCAAGGGCAGGGGGCAGGCATGCGAGGCAGCAGCTTGCTTGCTTGGAGATTGTTTTCTCTGAGCAAGCCCAAAATGATCTCCGCGCGAGCCACTGCCTCGCCACGTGTAGGGCGAGGCAGGCACATGGGCACACATGCGGTGAATCCAAAACCTCTGTGGCGGGCCAGATAAATGGGCATGGTGGGCCAGATCTGACCCGCGGGCCATAGTTTGAGGACCCATGGTCAAGAATAACAAGAATGAACTTTGAGAACCTGGCTTAAGGGCGGTGCTAGACTTCAGAACAGAGGGTTGGTGGCTTTGAAACTGGATGCAGGATGCAGATAGGAAAAAGGAATCAATCGTTTGACTCTGGAGGGGAAGGAGACGGCATAGAATCATAGAATAGTAGAGGGGCCACGGAGGCCATCAGGTCCAACCACCTGCTGTTGCAGGACACCAATTTACTCCATTTACATCTCTGACTACTTGAATGAATTAACCCTAGCTGAGTGAACATCAGCGAAACATGCTTCTGGGGGGGGGGGGCAGTTACATAGATGCATATAGAACATGTAGTGTTTCAGAAATGCTCATGCAGTAGCTAACTAGCTGATCCGTCTTGGGGTGGGGATGCTTCTCTATTATCTATCTTTCCTAGCAAAGCTCTCAATTTGCTAGTTTAAAGGTACCTGCCATTGGTTCTTTCCTAAGGTAGTGATTTAGTAGTCAGGTAGGCCTTTGCATGTATATGGAATCCATGGGAGTAAGTCCGGATGAAGAGGGTATATCTCAGGGGCACCTAACTTGCTATGAACCTGCCTGAATATTAAAATATGCAGGAGAGGCCTTTTTGCAGGCGCAGAGAACTGCTTGTTGGGTATGCACAGAAAAGCTTTCTCCCATGTTGCTCCCAAAGTGTGGAAAGTTTCTTACGCATTGTGTCAAGCCTAGTAAATAACAAAGACTCTCATCTCATCTCTTCTCTTCTCAGATACACATATCCTGATTTCCTATATGTGCGTTCCTGGTTACCCTGTATATTTTTTGCAGGTGGGATAACTATGGGAAACATTGGCAGGCAACTGGCAATGGTAAGGCAGCTTATTAGTACCACCTTTATTTTATACTTGTGTTTTTACTTCCACAGCTCTTTATGGGCTATATTTGTATAACTTTGTTGCTAGTCAGGAAGGTCAACCTATGGTAGCATAAGTGCTTTCCACTTTTGTCAGTTCTGTCTGTTGCACCACACTTGATGCAGTTCATCATTTCATGCAGCATAAAACTCAGTGTATGAAGACAGAGCAGCCCAATCTTTTATAGGGCCTCTGTTCACTGAAAACTGAGAGTGTCCAAAGCACTTCATTTATGTACTTACACACATACTCTTTCAACAGGTTTCGGGATCCTCCTGCTTGACAAGCCACCTATCCAACCCATAGCTTGGCTTCTCTCTGTGTCACCTACAGCCTACTCCTCATGGTGCAGTTAGGCATTAAAAATAAAAGCTCCATCTTTTGTGCAGAGGTGGGACAATTTGGGATAAGGGTCACGGCTGAGCAGGAAGAGTTAACCCTTTCTGTTTGCTGTCACTTGAACATTGTTGTGCACCCTTCCCAGGATGGCAGTTCCATTTTTTAAGTCTTCTGTTGGCATCAAGTCTGAGGCTTTTTCCAGATATAAATGCCATGCTGGGAGGTTAATTCAGTGGGATCATGCTTTGCCGGTATGATTTAGGGATTTAGGGTATGGATTCATTAGAAGACTTTTTTCTGATAGAATTGCTGTGTGGAGGTAGAGTTGAGTATCTGAGTTTGTGTGTGTTGATAAGGGTGTGCATAGTGACCCTGCTGCTTTTTCTTTGACCCTTGCCACTCTTTGCTTTGGCACCTATGGGCCTCCAAAGGTTAAGTACAAGCTATGAGCTGAAAAGGGTTTCCTACCTTTATTTTATTCAGACACGTATTATCATCCCTTCCAGAAGTAGGTAGCATGTTTTACCTTTGTTCAAAGCTATAGGTAAGGTGTAGTAACTGTTTACTCCATAGGCCTGTGCAGCAGAGGTGAGCAGATTTCAGGTTTGTGTTAGCTAGTGTGTTTTTCACCAGATGTGAGTCCAAAATGGGCAATTAGACCATACTCGTGTACCTTTAAAATTAAGGAACAGGTTCCTCTTACTACATGCTCTAGTATGCCTTTTCATACACAAAGATCCATCCTATGATTCAGTTCATTGATACACCAAGGCAGTAACCGCGGGACTCCTAGTAGTCTCCCATCCCAGCACTAACCAAACCTTCTTAGCTGTGGGACAGTGGCTGCATTGTGTGCCTGTAGATCATGTCCTCCTCACCCACCTCTTGCAGCGTTCTCCTTTTCACTAGCTTAATTTTAGAGTGGAATGGTGCCTTTTATTACGATTGTTTTATTTTATTTATTTATTTATTTATTTGGGATATTTCTAAGCCGTTGAATCACTCTGAGTCTCTGGATGGCGTAGACATTTGGAACTCAGGATGCAGATCTACTAAGGCCCTTTGTGCTTTCCTGCTGTACAGATTGCACATAGGTTGCCTGTTCTGTTTTACCAGGACACCTGCAGCTCACAGGCATAATGTGGAGCACTGGCCCTCTGGGAAAATGGAAACTGAGCTGCACCATCCATCCATCCATCCTCATAGTTCTTTTAGAATTTTACAGTTTTGTGTTAATGTTCACATACCATTCTTAAAGAAACTTATGCTTACTCTCTCTGTTTATTTTGTAGTATGAATGCAAAGTTATTGCAGAGAAGTCTCATCAAGACTGAAAATGGCAAAACATACCTTTCGCATGGGAGGATAAATGTCAGCTGGGGAAGAGCACACACAGCAAGGAGTTCTTGATTATAAAATTGCCAAACAGCCATCTCCTTCTCCTGTTTCTTCTTCTGCTCCGCACCCTATAACCCTGGCCTGTTCTACCTGTTTACTGCAATCTGTGATTGCGGCATCTGTAGGTCAGTTGAAAATCTTGGCATCTTAAGATGCAGTCAGTGTGAAATTGCACTAGAATGCAACATATTGGACAGAATGCTGGTTTATAGATAGAAGCCTTTACTTTCTGAATTAAAAGAGTTCCTTTATGCCATCTTCCTCTTTCCTGTGCCAAACCAAACTTATTTTTCTTCTATTTTTTCTTTTTTTTTCTTTGACACATTTGGCTCTTTCCTTTTTATTTACTTTGGAGAATTTGAGTAATTTGGCATTCTTTGATTGTCACCCTATTATTATTTCTGAAGCCGGAGTGTTGCAAAGGTGGCATGAAATTACATTAAATAAAAATATAATTTAATGCTGCATCTGCACTCTGTAGAATAATAGTAGTAATAATCAAAAATCCACAGGTCACTTGCATGTCAGGTACAGCCAGCTCGAGCTGTCATGGCACACTTGTGTTATGGTTCAATTGCACACTGGATGTAAAACCAGCTTGCACTATTTGCAGTACAGATAGGAAAGATGATACTACATTTGCAGTATCTTTGCCTGCAGTGTGTTCAGAGTGATGCCCCTCTGTATATAGGTACATCCTGTTGTATGATCCCTTATTCCACAACAGCATCAGTACAGCTGTGAGTAAAGATATAGCTCTAATGAGACTGTCTAGAAAAAAGTCATTAGTAGATGAAATACCTTCATTCCCTTGGTAAAAGGGAATCCAAGCTTCCTTAAGGGTGATGAAATGAAATAAGCCTCCGTCTATCTGCTGTGAGTTTCACCCTTCACTCATGCGCATAGACATTTGCATGCATCCTGATGACAGAAGGCAAAATCTACTGTGATATGGTCCTGCATGAGGACTGCAGGACCACTGAAATGAACGAGGGGAAGTGTTGCAGTAGGATTGCCATGTGTTACAGTGAACATGTGCAAGGGAGGACCTCAGTGCTTTGTATGTGGTCGAACAGACCATTAGAAGGCCAGATAATGGTATGACCTAATACACTGCTGCTTGAGACTGGGGGATTTACTGGGTTGAGACGAAGGGAATACCTTTGTGGTGATGAAGCCCAGGAGTTCTTCATCTAAACAGAAGCATAAATTTATTCTAAACTTGGCCAGTTCCATTGCTTCTATCATTGTGTATATCTAGCCTAAGTGAGCTGCTGCTTTTCTTTTTCAAGCATATTTCCTTTTTTATAAGAGATTCTGTGAAATGTTTTGGAAAATATGCTGCAGTCCACCTGAAGAGGCTGAAGTTGGTCCAAAGAATAGATATGTTAGATTAAAAGTTTTATTTTTCTTTCCTAATGTGTATGTTACAGTCATTAAAAAGTGGAACAAGCAAGCTAAGCAGCATTTTTAAGGCTTGCATATTAATACATGGAGAATATGCAATGAAAACTTGGAACAAAAATTCTGTTAGAAGGAAAATGTGCAATCAATAGGACTTTTAACAAGAAAAAGCATATAATATATAAACTTTCAGTAGCTTCAGCTTTCCACTGGCTGTTGCAATGCTGATGTGGTTGTAATATTGTTGGACTGAAAATTAGGAATCACTTAAGTGTTAGTGGTTCCACTCGTGTGTCCCTCTCAATGAATAGCATAGTACAGTGTATATAAATGATTTAATTTTAACACATCTTCTTCAACAGGGTGAATGTCACTTGATGTTATAGAGATGCTTTAAAATTAATGGAGATCTGAGTATTCTGGTCCTAGGCCAGGATAGCTCCTGTTTGTAGCTCTGATTTTGCTGACCCATAAGTATGGATCCACCCGATTGTTTAATGAGTTTGTCAGAGCTTATTAAAATGGTGGCTTGAGAATATTTCAAAAGCTCTAATATGGCACTCTGGTCCTCCTACAAGAATGCAGGGATCAAGTCACAGCACCACTGTGGGTGGCAAGTATTGTGGCTTTTGAGAGAGCTGCACCACAGATCTCTAGCTTAATATTTTGGGGGTACTGCATGTGTCTTCAACTGATGGGTAGGACTTGGAATGAATTCTCAAGGAGCTGGGGTGTATAGTTACAAAAGATACCATCTTCATCTTTCTAGTGAGGGCAATTCCTATTGTAATAAGCTGCCTTGGAGTGAATCAAGGCTCTGGTTTTCCATTTGGTTCACCAGTTCTGTTCAGCATGAAATGTGAATGGAATTATGAAGGCAAGAGGAATGTTTATATGACACCTGTTCATAGTGTGCTATATGATGGCTGCCCATGGTTGTGATAATTGAAAGTTATGAATGCCACTGCATTCTGTAAATTTTGGGGAACCTAACTGGGTGCCATTTTAAAATGTACTTGCCGCTCTGTGACATGGGCTTGCACTCAGCTGTGAAGAAGGGCTTCCTTGATCTTTCTGAAGAAGTCCAAGGCAATTTAAATGTCATACTAAATCTTAAACACATGAAGACCTAGCTCTGAACCTTTGCACATTAGCTCGAAGATGGAGATTGACACCTTTCTGTATTAAGCCACTCACCAGCATTACTGTGATCCATGTTTTCCTGTGCATCAGTGGTAATGCATCTGTGTTTAGAAAATGCCACTTTTAAAAATCTGATGAACTCTTAAATTTTGAAGTCAATAATGCAAAGTCTGCCTATCATCCCATAGTCATTCTGGCAGACTTGCTGTTCTCTGTTAAGTAGTTTTTATTTAAGAAAACTTGTGTTGATTTTATGTATGTACCAGCCAATCCAGGAATCTTGAGAGGAGAACTTTGTAATGGTAATGCCTTAATTACAGTGGTGGGAAGAGGCAGCTACTCTATAATGTGTAATTATAATATTAGACTGTCTTCAAAATGTTCTATAGAGGATGGATAAGGTATATTTTAGATACAACTTTATAAGCACTATAAACTCTTCACTAGTTGTGAATTGTAAGGGTTAATGATGTTTACTTCAAATTGCTGTTAAAAGCAAAATATGTATTAAATATAATTATGACCTTGTTGAACTGGTTTCTCTTTCATTTTTCAAGGAATGATATTTTGTAACTATATGCTAGTGATCTTATTTCAAAGATCAAATTAGAATGTTGGCTGTGGAACACCTGTAAAATGCTACCAGACAGCAAGCCCATTATTACACATAAATCAGCAATTGCCATGAGTCAAAGTGATTTCGGCATGGGCTGAAGCTCTTAAGATCTACAGTCAGAACAGTGGACAGGAGAGCATATCTAATAACAAAATAGAGATTAAAAGATGCATCTGTTTTTGAATTCTTCTTTTCTCAAGGCAGGAGCACAGGCCTCTTTGAGAGAGGCTTTTTTTTGCAAAGTTAAGTGGCATAACCATCTCCAGATTAACTGATAAAAGTGTCACTGCATTTTTTGAATGCAAGTAGTGAAGCCATTTGGCATGGGTGCCCTTGCTAAGCAGGGCAGCTCTCCACACCACTTCTGCATCTCAGGAAAATGATGATGGCAGAACTAGCCATGTGCCTGTGTCTTCACATGGAAATACAACCAAATTGCATTGGTTGTAGACAGCCAATGCCACACTGGTTATATATCCCGGTCTAAAGTGCTATATGTTTCTGGCTTTCTGAAGCAAGCTTCTAACTGGCTTTGCTCGCTGATACAGTTAGATGAGAGCAACTTTCCCAGTCAGGCTGATACTGACACTAGAACATGAAGGCTTCTATCTCTCTTCACTACTCTGTCTCTCTGAAGACCAGTATCGTCTGACACAACAGCTTCCTCAGTAGGAGTGCTTTTCAGAAATTATTTTCATATAGAAATAGCGTACAAGAATTCAAAGTGTAGCCCCTCCATAATGGCCCCCCGCCCCCAAGCACAGCAGCTTCCTGAAGTGAGCATCAGCATGAGTGGATGATGTGGGCCTGCCTGTCCAGTGCTGGGAAATGGCCGGGTTGAACCAGCTGTAGAAGCCCAGGTGGTTGGGAAGAAGATGGGATATAGCCAGCATCACGGGAGAAGAGCATGAGAAGTTCATTTCATTCTTTTTCTGCAGGATGTCCCAGGATGGAGCAGAGCAGTCAGTCAAGGCCTCAGCAAAGTGCCCAGTCCTAGCGAAGTCCAGCCCACATCCCAGGCTACAGACACCAGATGTCACTGGGTGGGGTATGCCAGCAGCAAATAAAATGCTTTGGGAGTGAAGGAGAACAGGAGAGAGAAGTCTCTTAAACCCTCTCCTCAACTTGGCTCATGAAGTGTGGGGAGCCTGCCAGCCTGTTCTCTTCCGCCACCATGGACTGTACTGAGCATACTACATAACTAACTGAAAGTTACTTTCTATAGTAAGGGTATCACTAATCTTTTCCAGATCTTGAACACGTGACTCAGTGCCCATCTAATAATGTTTCATGCACATCTAGTGTTTTTGAATGTTCAAAAATTCCAGATATATTGTAAAATGGGTCAACTGCAGATGTGGGCAGGGCTGGCCTTACCATCATGCCAAGTTAGACAATCACTCCAGGTGGCAGATGCTGGAGAGCAGCAGCAACAGTTCCCTGGTTGTTCCTCCTAAGCACCCTCCTCAGGCCATTCCCCCCTACTCCCCCACCCCCGTTGGGTGACAGAGATGTTGTGCCTAGTGACCTGTTTCAGTATCCTAAATACATCAGCTGAGGATGCTGTCTCCTCCCCAGTAGGATTCAGCTGCCACTCCAGTTAGTTTCCATCTGTATATTGTCCTTTGCCTCTGGCATTAAAAGGTCTTGGGCAAGCTAGGGTGGAGCTGAGAAGTTTAAAGAGAAGGCCATGAGTTAAAGAATGAGACAACATTTAGT